CATTTTACGCACTCACATGTATACATACAATGAGTACAAAAAATATTCGTACAGAAAAAATATTTTTTAAAAAACTTTATTTTTAAAAATTAAATATTATCCAATGAGAAATGTCATTAAATTGATGTCGAATCAATATGATGATTTCAACATCAATCAATTTGACGTCGATTCGACGTTTTTCATTTCTTGCTGAGTAATTAAACAATTTATTTATAAAATATAAAATAGGTTCTATGTTTCTTAAAATTATATATACCAAAAAAATGTGTATTAATTATAGAAAATATACCATCTGAAAAATAAGCGAAAATTAAAAGTTCTATTGTTTGGGTGCTCAAAAAGTATTCGTACAGTTGAGAAATTTAGCTTATAATATCAGAAATATACGCGAAGCTTATTCGTATATGTTAGAACAGAATGTATTCATTGTATAATATTGCTAATTAATGTTTATTTTCTACAAATAAGACTTTTTTTATAAAAAATTTCCTTGTACGAATACTTTTTACTTTCATTGTATGTACGTTACAGTTTTAGAATAAATATAAATTAATTCCTAAAGACTCCTTAATGATACAAAATGCTTGGATTTACAACAGGGCAATAGGAGTTAAGCATGGTAATTCTTGTGCAAACCAACGGTTAACAAAACAACTTTAATAATAATTAATCTGTTTACATATTTCGGCTCACTTTCAAGCCATTCTCAGAGACAATATGATGTTGTAATTACAAAAAATTTTTTTACAAACTAATTCATTTCAGTGAGCCACCTCCTATTAACGGAAACTATAATATAAAAACGAACTCTAATAACAATCTAAAATGTATTAAAATTATTAACAAGTAAATTTGTTGGAAACAAAAACGATTTATTGTAAAACGTAAGCGGATTAATTTTAGAATAAATTTTTAAATTGGAATTATTTTAACATGATCATACGCATATCGGCGAACTGTTTCGGAATTGCTTGTTAAGTATAAGTGCAAACATTGTTTCGTTGATTACAATCTTTCGTTCAACGTTGTATCTTTCGAGATTCGACGACAGAGAAAGAAGTAATGGAAAACCAACTGTGAAGAGCTGTGGCCAGTGAACGGTGTACTTGGGGGAAAAAAAAAAAAGATCGAACGATACGAAAGTTTTGCGAGAACTATAAAGTGCCGCGAGTGTTCAGAGGGTGAACAATTTCGTTGGATATAAAAGTAATGCGATATCTCGTGCGCGCGGCGGAATATGGAACGGCGGCGTCCATTATGGAAAAAGCGCGGCGACGGGAAGTAACGAAAAATTTAGTGCCAAGCGAGACTAATCATTTAGGAACTTTTTGCGACGGTACCTGCGGGAATAGGGGTAGCTTTCGCGCGGCGATATATTTTTTAATATTCTCGAAATCAGAAATGCGAAGTAGTAAAGTAAGATGCCATTGAAAGGGTGCAGTAGCAACTTATTTAAATATTTACTAGAGGATGCGCTTGATTTATGTATCACTAGTTGTTCTAAGTTTTATATAAAAAAAGAAAAAAACATATTGAAAAGTTTCGCGATAGTGTTGTGTAAAACTTGCATATCGGAGATGTTAAGTAATAATATACATATAAGAGGATTTGAAATAAGAATCTCTTTTGGAAGAAGTTATGCGATTTACGTATATCCATTATATTTTGCGAACAATCTGATACTTGTCTTTTTGAAGTGAACTGCAATGTTCACAAAACGTTGATATTTAACGATACATCAAGACAGATGGAGATAAATCGTGAACCGCGTAACTTTCTTGGAGAAAAGACCCATGGAAATAAAAGAAAAGTATAATCTCTTTTAGAATTTTATTTTAGATGATCTTTGCCATTTGATAACATTTTTGCGAGTTAGTATCTAATCTAGATCTAATCAGTTACATATAAAAATATATAAATATATAAAAATATATAAATATATAAAAATATATAATCCGAAAATACCACGATCTCATCCAATCAGAAACAAAAGTAGAGCATGTGATATCATTAATCCGACCTAGATTATAAGTTTAAACCTGCTATTTGAAAAAAATGCTATTTGAACTGCTATGAGATAAAAAATCTATCACATACACAATTTAATAAAAATTGATGACTATCCTCAATTGGTTAAGATTGATTATTTTTTTTATCAAAAAATATATTTTATCTGATAAAAAAAAAATCACTGAGTTTCGTGTCTGTTAGATTTTTCTTTATGACAGGGATTCATAATTTTCTGATCATTGTTAATATTATTCCGCGATATATATCGCGTACGTAACTATGATTGCAATTAACGCCTACGTTTGTCTAAACGGGTGTACCGCAGAATTTAACGGTATCACCAGCAGCACTGCTCGTCAGCCGCATGGGCTTCTCTTCGGCCACAGACATCTATACTTATGCCAGACCGCTAATACCGTTGGTAATACAAATTGAAGCATATAACATGATATTCGAACAGAGGAAATGACAGTCGTATGTAATCACGTCGGTATGACTTGCGGGCATGCCATTAAAAATTATCACAAATAAAGCGCAATGTGAAGAGCGTGCCGGCGTAATCGTCATAAAATTGTCAGCGTGCGTACCATCTTATTCATAAGAAACACATGCCGACTATATTGTACACGGATGGCAACCATCATCATACCAGATTTCTACTCTTCTTTGTTCATTGCGTTTATTACTGTTAGTGGTTTGCTTTAAACATAAATCAGTTCCTTGCGTTATTTCTATGCATCATTCGTTTACATATTGCTGTTTTGTACAAGTTTTTGTAATGAGTGCGATTAACCTGTCCAGAAAAGAAAATTTCACTTTTCTTACTGGCAAATCAATATTTGTTAATCTGATTAGTAAGAAGGTATTGTATTCAATAATTAAGTATTCTTTTCTTTAAAAAATTTTTGTTGAGCCGGCTTACAGCCGGGGTTAAAAATTTATATAAAATAACTTGCAACTTTATATATTAATAAAAATGAAATAATGAAGTAAATACTATGATAAAAAAATAAAAATAATAAAGGAAAGAAGAGAATAATAAAGCAAAATTGTTTGAAGCACATTATAAAGTGTAGTATG